TTTCAGTATACTTGGTGGACTTTTTTAAAAAAAAATCCATTGCAATCAGTGGAGCAAATGATCTGTTTTCTGCTCCAGATTGACAAAAAAACTCATCCTGGGCAACTCCTGCAGAAGCAGGGGGAATACTGAATCCCTACTCCTGGCATTAATACTGTCAACATCATACACATATTTCCACAGCTGTCTTCAGGCATAATTGGGACCTCCCAAGTGAATGCAACCCCCCTCTTCCATACCAGTGGAAGGGTCTAACTCATTTCTTCTAACCTCTGCCAGCTAGCAGATTTCATGACTGGGATTGCTCTGCACACTTCTGGATATTTTAGATACATAGGGCAATCCACTAACTTACTTAATTTAAAGGTAGAATTCAAAGATATAACCGTGTTAGTTTGTGGAATCAATATGTAGAGAGATCTTGTAGCACCTTTGAGACTAACTGAAAGAAGTTGGCAGCATAAGCTTTCATAGACTTAAGTCTACAAAAGCTCATACTTTCAACTTCTTTCTTTCAATTAGTCTCAAAGGTGCTACAAGATTTTTCTACATTACTTTATTTATTTATACATATCGTTCTCCCAAGATGTGATTCAGAGCGGCTTACAATAATTTTAAAAAGATTATGCTGAAACATAAGTTTACAAAAGTTAAAAAAAGAGTTAAGTAACAATATGATTTTAAAATGTGATAGAAAAATGTTTAAAAACACTTAATGCATATTTAAAACTCCATTGGACTCCATTTTGAAGATCATTGTTGCTCTCCTGTTTAGTTTTTTTAAAAAGCTGTTTGCATTTCTAAAACGTCGCATGTGTTTAGATGCTCCTATAACTTCATGTTTTGAGTTAGGGCCTTTGCAGACTGCCAGAAATAGTGCACATTAAATTGAGGCACTGCCCTGGCTCAGTGCTAGGGAATCATGGGAACTGTATTTTATTGTGGCACCAGAGCTCTCTGACAGAGAAGGCACAATGTCTCAGAAAAAAATACAATTCCCATGACTCCCTAGCACTGAGCCAGGGCAGTGCCTCAATTTAATGTGCACTATTTCTGGCAGTCTGCAAAGGCCCTTAGTGTTTCAAAATGGGGTGTAGTTTTGCGCATTGGTGTAGCAAGTTGATTTGTGTATAATTGGCTATTTGCTTATCAGTTTGTTTATTTTTAAACAGGAAGCCAAGAAGGGACCAAATATATTCATAATCTTCAAGGCCTGTTTGCACTTCCCTTTGGCAGAACGGCTAAACCTGCCCATATTGCTAAAGTTAAAATGAAGTTCCGTTTTCTGGGGAAATTGATGGCAAAAGCAATAATGGATTTTAGATTGGTAAGAAAATAACAATTTTAAATTTAAATGTGAAGCATTGCTGAAATTGCAATGGAAAGAACCTGTTTTCCAGGTAGCAGTTTCAAAAAACATTCTCTTCAGAACTAGCAGCTATGTCATATTATGACCCCCCAGATTGTTAGCTACATAGAGTGATAGCTCTTTGATTCAGGGATATAGTCCTATGCTTAATAAACATGTCATCAAGTAGTGTACTAATAGGAAAATATGAACTTTCCAAAGATTATCCATAATGTATGTGTAAATGGTTTTAAACGGCATTTTTCATACTTATAGTTTGAGTCTCTCATATCTAAAATCCCAAAACCCTAAATACTCCAAAAAACAAAACATTTTTCATGGGTGGCTGAGATAATGACACCTTTCCTTTCTGATGATTCAGTGTACACAAATTTTGTATTTAGACTTGGGCCCCATTTCCAAGATATCTCACATTAGGTACTTATATGCAAATACAGATATTCCACATACACCCCAAATAAAATAAAATAAAATAATCTGAAATCCAAAACACTTCTGGTCCCAAGCATTTCAGATAAGCGATACCCAACCTATGTTATATTTCTATTATTCCAGTCATTACTTAAGGGAGGTAGTAGTTTGCACACCTTCAGTTAAAGAAAAATGGTGCTTTTGTCTTTAGGTGGATCTTCCTCTTGGCCTTCCTTTTTACAAATGGATGCTACGGCAGGAGACCTCACTAACATCTCATGACTTGTTCAATATTGATCCTGTAGTAGCCAGATCAGTATACCACCTTGAAGAAATTGTGAGGCAGAAAAAAAGACTTGAACAAGATAAATCACAGGTAAGTGTAATTATAGGTAAGAAATGCCATTTTTTTCCTTTGTAGAAATGTGACAAAGGTTAATATTTACATAACCACACTACTCATTGCTTAAATATTAGAGGGCTTGTAGATCTGCAGCAAAAATAGGCAATGTGTAGTTATCATGCTCTGTTTAGACATTTGATCGCTGTACTGGAAATGTTTACCCTTGAAACTGCATTGGATATTACTTAAATTAATATCTACTGGTTGCAATAGTTCAGTTGAGACATGTCTAGAAACTGAGCTATGTTTGGATACAGTGCCAAACAATGATTTAACTTTACAAGAATATATTGCAACTAATTTTGGCCTCATGTGCTTGCCTAACCTTGACCAGCATGGCTATGATTGGAAACTGACTGCTTCCAATCTGAGTATAGAGAAACAGAATGGTTCTCAATCAGAAAAGGAGTCAGGCTATCCTATCACCCTATCTATTCAACCTGTATGCAGAACACATTGCATGCAAAGCATGCTTAGGCACAGAGGCAGAAGGAGTGAAGAAAGGAGGAAGAAACATTAACAGCCTAAGATACACAGATGACACAATACTACTATCAGAAACAAAGAAAGGCCTTGAACATTTACTGAAGAAAGCCAAAGAAAAAAGTGCCAAGGTTGGATTGATGCTGAACATAAAAAACCCCAAAAATAATGATCATGGAAGATCTACAAGAATTCATCCTAGATAGGAGAAAATGGAAATAGGAATTCCCATACCTTAAATCAAGCATTGATCAGAATGGAGATTGTAGAAGAACACTAGGATTAGCAAGGGCAGCTATGAAAGAACTAGACAAGATCTTCAAGTGTAAAGATATACAACTGAGCACTAAAGTTAGAATCGCCCAAGCCATTGTATTCCCCATCATCATGTATGGATTGAAAGTTGGACAGTGGAGAAAGCCAATAGAAAATAAACTCATTTGAGATGTGGTTCTGGAGAAGAGCGCTGAGGAGATACCGTGGGCGGCCAAGAAGACAAATAGATGGGTTCTAGAACAGAACAAGCCCGAACAACTGCTGGAATCCAGGATGACTAAAGTGGGCCTGTTGTGTTTTAGCCACCTCATGAGAAGGCATAAATCATCAGAAAAGACAATAATACTAGGAAAGGTAGAGGGTAGTACAAAGAGAGGATGACCACATGCCAGGTGAATTGACTCAGAGAGGTCATGGGCACTGGGCCTGTAGGACATGAACAGAGCAGTTGAAGACAAGGGGGTCTTGGACATGTCTCAGCCACAGGGTCAGTATGAGTTGAGGTCAACTTGAGGGCAATTACAAACAACAACACTTCCATTTTACATTTGTATTACATTACATTACTTTAGGTTTCCAGTGTTGGCTGCACCCTAATCTGCGGTTAATCCTAACTATCTTGTTTCATGAACTTTAGTATGAAGTTTTCCTGTTTCAACTGATTATTGCTAAACATTAGCCAAAACAGCATAGGTTCCTGGCAGGCTGTTATTATTAAAAAATGGAACTGAAAACTTCTAAGTGCTGAACTATGGTTTAGGTTTATATCCTAACAAGCCCGTTATGTCTGTTTATATAATTAAGTCTGCATGAGCTTTGGACTTACACTGCTCTTGCTTTGCATGCCAGAATGAAGTTCCCTGTGACATTTTGACTTGAGAATTGTGGCTTCATTATAATTTAGTTAGTGAGAGAAAAAACAAGATTAAACTGTGGAATAAGAGAATTCCAAAATAACAAGATGACTTGTTGTCACTCATAGTTTATACAAATCCATTTCCTGAGTTTGGCTGTGTCAGAGAACTGTGCTCAGTCAGTAAGCAGAAGCCTTTGGCCTGTTCCTGGTATCATGACATGTGAAAGTGAAGATGAACAGTTTATAAATCCAATAAATGGGTAGTAGGAAACTATGCCAATGCATTTTGGGTATGTGTTCTGTTTGGTGTCTAAACCAGATCAGTGCCTATTGGATGAGTACTTCATCTGTTGTCCTTGTATGAGATGGCAACATGTCATGTTTTCATGTTTAAAATGCAGTCATTAAACATACAACAGTTTTATCTGTTTCATATTGCCCCTAATATGTAGATTTCAGTCTCAGGATGGCAGGTGGAGCAAAGGCATTTCATTTATTAAAAAAATCTTCCGCTTACCTTTGTTGAGAATTTGTGGAACATGGTGCTCTTAAGCAAAATTTAACCTACAGAATGTAGCATTAATTTTTTAAAATATAGAAGTTTAAGCCTAACATTTCCCAAGTTCTTACTAACACCTATATTTATTTCTAGACCAAAGAGAGTCTACAGTATGCTTTGGAAACCCTGACCATGAATGGTTGTTCAGTAGAAGATCTAGGATTGGATTTCACACTTCCGGGATTCCCAAACATTGAGTTGAAAAAAGGAGGGAAAGATATACCCGTCACCATCCACAACTTAGAAGAGTATCTTCGAGTAAGTAACACAAGATTCTTGTTGGACATGACACAAGATTCTTGTTGGACATGGACGACTCCTTGTTCTTCACTGAAATAACTAAAAATATCTAGAATGTGTTACACTGGTGACAGAATTTGTATTGCTTTCAGTGAGGTGAAGCTAAAGTGGTGATTTAAAAAATAAAATTTATGTGAAAGAAGATCTGTGCAATTTTACCTGACTGAAATTGGAGGATGTTGGGATGTATAATCGAATTACCACTCTAAAGATGTGGCATTCACTCTCATGGGAGGCTCAGGTGGGCCCTCTTTCTGCCAGCAAACATTCTTATTTAAACAAGCTTTGGTTGATAGCTGGATGTAACAGGATTTTTTTTTAATGGGGTGTACTGCACTTTTTAGCCACCGTGGCATAGTGGTTTGAGTGTTGGATTATGACTCTAGAGATCAGGGTTCGAATCCCTGCTGAACCATGAAACCCACTGGGTGACCTTGTGCAAGTCACATTTTTCAGCCTCAGAGGATGGCAGTGGCACACACACATCCCTGAAGAAACATGCCAAAAAACCTCTGTGATAGGTTCCTTAGTTTGAAAACTGCTTGAAGGCACACAACAAAAACAGCAGCGTTTAAAATTTATTTTAAACTGTTTTAAATTATTTTTAAATAGGAATATTTATTTATTATTTTTATACTTCATTATTAGATTCTACCTGTATTTTGTTTTAATCTTTGTTGTAAGCTGCCAGGGTTCCATGCTGGATAGAAGACAGTACATATATTCATATTAATAACATGGGTAAACACTTTGCAGTAGGTCTCTTCAGCATTTTTATTAAAACATTATTTCTGAAATGTAAATGAAGCTCAAACAATTTGCATGTTTTTTCTCTCTGAATGGTGATTATGTATTCAAGTCTCTTGGCATAAGGAATATGAAGAAGTTGCTGGACAAATAATTGAACCAGTTTGTACCTCTAGTACTGATACCTCATTGATATTAGCTTGGTTTATAATCTGCTGTGCCTAAAACCATTTTACAAGTTTATCATCAAATTACCACTATAATATGGGTATCTAGAATGTGTTCATCCTTTTTGACTACATCAATAAAGGAGCTTAGTGCCACCTAGTAACTAGTTAGATCTTGTGAAATTGCTGGTTCTTCCTAACTTTGTATCCTTAAATGACTGAAAAATAAATGAGAGTATTGGCTTAAATGGCAAATTCTTAAACTTGTAGCCTTCTCTGGCTTATAATTTAAGTCATGGATCCACTCAAAGCACCGTATTACATAATGCTGCTAATACTGTATTGAATAATGTGATAACTACAATTTTCTCTGGGTTTTTTTCCATTCTTTCTTTGTAGCTAGTTATATTCTGGGCACTAAATGAAGGTGTTTCGAGGCAATTTGATTCCTTCAGAGATGGATTTGAATCTGTCTTCCCCCTTAGTCACCTTCAGTACTTCTATCCTGAGGAGGTTAGTACCTTCATGAGAAATTTAGTAGCTTTGTACTCATACCTGTATACTCTACCTTTAATATTTGAATGTAAGGAATCATTGTTCTGTAAAGGGGCTTAGGAATCTCTAATGGAAAAATTTCACCATTCTCAACAAACTAAAATGTCCAGGCTTCTTGGGGGTGTCATGACATTTAAACCAGTTTATGTTTATATTTTCTATTTATGCCCATATATTTTTGTATACCAGGGAAAAGAAATAGAGTCCATGCATGAGGAGAGGACTGGAGCTATTACAGGATATTGCACAATTCTGTAGCTTCGTTTTGTTCTGGAGATAATATCTTTTGAAGCTCAGTAATTCTTACTCCTGTGGTACTGGGAGAATTGTTAGAAATGAAGGATTTGAAAAAAATAATGGAAGGATCTTAATATGGTAAAAAAAAAAAGACCATCAGATGTTAGGATTGAAGTTAAAATATTTCATTTCTAGGAGAAGAGATTAATAGAAACTGAATCTCTGAGATTTTGTTAGATGGTGATACATAATTAAGGTACAATAATTGCATTGATTGTGTGATCATTCTGTTTAAAAAAGTTGTCTTCTTTTCCTAAATTTCTCTCATCATCCCTCGCATTTTTTGTCTGCCTTCTGTATTATTATAGCTGGATCAGTTGCTGTGTGGTAGCAAAACAGATACTTGGGATGCAAAGACATTAATGGAATGTTGCAGACCAGATCATGGTTACACACATGACAGGTAAATATGATTTGGTCACTAAGTGGTGATGATTAATAATTTGTAGAATATTTCAAACAGCTTGTTCTGTTATGGCTACTTAAAAATGATGATTCTTCTATTTCTTAATGGATATGTCTTTAAAAAGCTTCTAATTGAAGGTTTTAATTTGTTTTGTTTTTTTAACAAAATTCTAGTCGTGCTGTGAAGTTCCTGTTTGAAATTCTCAGTAGTTTTGATAGTGAGCAGCAAAGATTATTTCTCCAGTTTGTGACTGGCAGCCCTAGACTGCCAGTAGGAGGTGAGTGTCTTTTTATAATATTGACTTTAAGTGCACACGTATGAGTTGCATATTTGTGTTCAAAAATATTGTTTTCTTTATTAACATCATTAATATATTATTTATTAACATTGTTCTTTATTTATAGTACCCCCTAGCAAACCTTTAGCTCCAGACTGAACATGCCCATGCTGTAAACTAAAATTCCATATGCTGTTTTTAATTATTAATAGATATGAAAGCTTTGACTTAAAAACATGTTATTTAGTTCTACTTGGAATGTACCTGTAAGTAAAGCCTACTAAATTCAGTACAACTTACTGCTAGATAGGTATGTGTTGGACTGTGGTCTTAGGCTGCATCTGCACTGCAGAAATAATTCAGGTTGTCACCACTTTAACCACCTTGGCTCAATGCTGTATAATTGTAGTTTTGTGAGACATTTAGCTTTCTCTGTCAAAGCTCTGGTGCCCCACCAAACTACAGTTCCCATAATTTCATAGCATTGAGCCATGGTATTTAAAGTGGTGTCAAACTGGATTATTCTGCAGTGCAGATGCAGTCTTAAACATGCTTGCTAGAACCTATAATGAAAGCACAGTTTGTCTGTATTTTGTTAACAGACGTAAAAAGAAGAGTGTTAAGATTATACGTACGCTTCCTAGTTGCCTGAGGTGAATGGCTAATAACACCAGGCAAACATCTCCATCTTGTATCAATGGTACATCTGCACATGAACCATCATAGCGGCCTTTAGATTACTGTCTATGTCAGTTACTCTGTTAATACTCTAGCGTTCTTGATCACTGAGGGAGGAAAAGAAGTGATGTACATACATGCTTGTCTGCATACACCATTCTTTTTCTATTATGCTTTAATGTTGAAAGAAGCTACCAAAGCTTTTTCTCTGATAAAGAGTCATGAAGAACATTACATTAATATTAGCATTCTGTACATTAGAAAGAAGCACACTGCTAATCATATGAAATGCCAGCACTGCAGAAGCTACAGATAGATCTTTTTTTTCATGCTGGAACCCAGCGTCTGGATAGCAGCATTAATCTGCCTTACTGATATTAAAGCAGCATGAAGAATGCAGTATTTGCCTAGGTGTCACCTTAATAATTGCCAAAGTGTTATACTAGTTTCACCAGTAAAACAGTGACGGTTGACTCAATCTCTTTTTCATCCAACTCCGAGGAAGCTGTTTCAGTACTAAACCAATGTCTGTTGTCAATAATGGACTGGATGAAGCCAAACAATTGAAGCCTAATCCAGGTGTTCCTGATCAATTGTAAGGCAGATCAGGGAATAGGGTTCAGTCTGAGCTGGATGGGGTTACACTCCCCCTGAAATCTCAGGTTTGTAGCTTGAGTGTATTTCTAGATTCATTCCTGAGTATAGGTGCCCAAGTTTCAGTGGTGTCTAAGATTGAATTTGCTAATGGTGCACCAGTAGCACCCAATCCTGGATAAGTCAGATTGGTCAAAGTGCTGGTTCCTGACTTTAAAAACTCTATCTTCCCATATGAGCCTACATGAATTTTACAGTCTTTGCAGGAGGGGTTTCACAGGCCTTTGGCTTTTAATTGCTGGTAGCAAAAAGATCTTTTAATAGAGTGTGGTTCTATTTTTATCTTTTACTGTACTGCACATGTGTTTTCAACTGTTTAAAATGTTTTAATTGGATTGTTTAATGTTTTTAACCTTTGTATTCTGCATTGTTTTAGCTATAGATAAGTAAAATAACATTTTAATAATGTTGATAACTTAATGCTTTTATACGTCTCACATTAAGTTAAATAGTGAATATTGTTTTTGTGCTTTTTAGGCTTCCGAAGTTTGAATCCTCCCCTTACAATTGTACGCAAGACATTTGAGTCTACAGAAAACCCAGATGACTTCTTACCCTCAGTAATGACCTGTGTAAACTATCTCAAATTGCCAGACTATTCAAGTATTGAGATAATGCGTGAAAAACTCTTGATAGCTGCAAGAGAAGGGCAGCAGTCATTCCATCTTTCCTGATCACAATGAAAAATGCAATGTCTGCCTGTTACAGCAAAAAGAGAATCATGATTCTTTTCTAAATGTATCATCTGAGTCGAGGAAACGTTACGCCTTGTAGAAAACGGCTTGCAGATTATAAACAAAGACACTAGGTTGATATTCATTAAAGGCCCCATGGACTTAAAAATGATCAGGCCCTAAAGTTGTTGTGACAAGGTTTCTTTAGCAAGTTCTTGTTTTAAATTATCATTTATCGATGAGTGAAGTTTAACTTGCTTTGCTGTGTGAAATTTAAAAAGGGATGTTTTTTCAGGCTGGAACAATAAATGTTGCTGTGCAGTTTAATACTGGGCTGTGTGTATCCATCTAGCCAAGTCTGCAATTTTTTCCTCCCAAAGACAAGTTTGTACATAAGTACAGAAATTGAAAACATGTATTGGCACATCTAGTTAAGTAGACTAGTTCCGTGTACCATCACTTGCCCCCAATTGCCCTCCCTCATGTATTGTCTAATGTGCAATCCACATAGCTCTCTTTGTGTGCTCCACTCACAACAATTGTTACATTTTGGACATGGGCATTTACTGTTCCATGTTTTCTCAAATTAAGAAATAATTTAATTTTGTTAAATATATTGTCAATAATTCCGCCTTTGTAAGTAGGTAGAATCTTTCTTATAGCTTAGTTTTATTGTAGTAGTAGGATATATTGGCAACATTCTTTACCAGAAGATATTCTAGAACTGTTCACACAGTGATTTAGGCAACAGCCTCTTAACCAGGGGCTAGGAGGAATTGATTCTTTTTTGCGTAGTTGAAAAACTCAACAATTGATTGGTCTGGCCAATATTTATTGTGTGGCCAGAGCATTTTGAATTGATGTAAAGTTTTTTATATAAAGTCAAATTAGTATTTTCCTGCCTTGTTCAATCCTTCCTCCTTGATTTTAAGTTCATGGGTGGTATTTCGCCCCGTATTT